CCTTTTTAGTCATGTATTCTGTACCTGCTGTGTTTATTTATTTGATTTCATTACCTTTGCTTATTATGCCTGTTTTTAAATGAATTTTTAATAATGTATTTATGCTGTATTTGTTCTTAAATGTGCTGAAAAGTGCTATATAAATAAAATTGCCTTGCCTTGCCTTACCTGGTCACCCTAGTCGTTGTGGTAAACCTAAGAGAGAGAAAGTGTTTGAGCTCCACACTGTTTCAGAAATAATCCTTGATGTGGTTTGGAACATAATATGCCGTTTAATCAATGCAGCGTGTAGCTGAGTTTCTGCTGGTAGACACCCTTCTCTTCACAGAGCTCACTGTTTGTATGCGGACACTCCAAAGGGGCGTGGCCAGCAGCAGCTCGGTTACATTTAAAGGGCCAGACCCAAAATCAGCACTTTTGTAACAGGACTGAAATAGAGGGGTATGAGGCATGCTACAATGGGTTATATGTTTGGTATTTTGAGCAAAACACTTCAAAGACATGTTTTGTATAGATATGGCCCTATAATATATTTTTCAAATATAGTATAATATGGCCATATCTATACAAAACATGTCTTTGAAGTGTTTTGCTTATCAAAGTAAATGTTCTAGATGTCAGCTATATCGGCGGTCATGTCAACAAAAAAGTATCCAGGTTTAAACACACATATTGTATATTGATGTGTTGGCAGCGTATTAAACCATGTGAATCATTATTAAGCTAAAGATGACTGAATTTAAATGCTAGGCTATTTTTTCTAAAATGGTGGCTATTGGGTAAAGTGAACCATGGGCCTTGGGGTAAGTTGAGCCAGTTTTTCAATGGAGAAATTAATGAAAGTAGGCGAAGTTGATAATAAGAGCTCATTGTAGGCTACATTTAAAGGTCCCATGTCATGGCCATTTCCACTGATCATAATTCCATTGTTGAGGTCTACTAAAATAGATTTATATTGTGCAATTTTCCAAACTCACATTGGTTTCTCATACAGCATCTCTGTAAACTACGTGTATTCACTGAAGTGCACTGTGAGCACAGTGTGGTCTGATTGATCGGGACGTTGTGAATCGCGCTGAGCTCCGTGGAGGTGTGGTTTCCTTGTTAAGCGATACACAAAGTCACAGCCGAAGTAAAAACAATCAGTTTGGCTTGATATTGAGTAAGAAAAAGCTTCATAAACGCTGTGAGAATGGGTCTGCAGAGAGAATTTCGCCACGGTCCCAACTGTCTGTTATCAGCCTGCAGCCAGGGAGGAGAAATCAGCAGAGCTGCCTGCACTGAGTGTGTGTGTGAGGAAGTCCGTGGATTGTTCAATTTGGACCAATCAGCGGGGGCTTAACGTAACGGCTCCGCGGACGTAACGTAACGGCTCCACGGATTGGTCCATTTGGTTCCGGGTAACGCATGACCGTACCGCGTCATAGCTCTGGGCTCGGCTACTGGCCATTCCTACGTCACAATACCCAGGAAGTAAACAATGGACAATGACGTATCTCCAAACGAGGCGTTTTGGGGAGGTCTTTTCTGTGTTAGAGTTTTACTCGCTACAGGGTATACTTTGAGGGTTTTGACTTTGCAGACCGTTTACATGCATAAAAACCTTAATAACACACAAGGGGACGTGTCATAACCGGAAAAGCATGACATGGGACCTTTAATGTCCTCCCATGTGTTGTGTGTCACACATTGTTTTACTGCCATGATGTAAAGAAAAGCATTTCAAGTGTCTAAAGCAGTGCTTCTGCTTAATTAGAGAAGAAGCTCTTCTGGCGTCATTGACAGAGGGTCGTCATTGTTCGTCAGGCTGACCTGTATCATATCCATTGTTTTTCCTCCCTCTTCTCACACATCAATGTAAAGTTAGTACTGTTCCCTTTAGGGTTTCCTCTTATTGTCACTGAAATAAGAACAATCAAAGAGCAAAGGGTATTTAAGAGATGAATTGAAGGAGAGAGAATTAAAGGCGGTGAGAGGAACTGAGCAGATGTATAGATAGATGAACTGGATTGCTGATTGAGCAAAGAAACTGCTGGTAATGGCTGACTAGAAGTACTGACACGTAAATAGTACAGTTTGTTTTGTTCTTTAAACTAAAAGCGTCATTGTTCTTGGGCTTTATGTGATATTCAAGAGACCTACTGTGATGTCTCCTCCTGAGAGTTCCCACTGTTGTTAACATTTAATGCAACCTTCAGGAGACATTTTGGAAATCCTTTTGAACACAAAACAAGACTTTAGAAGGTTATATAACTTTAGCAAAGACAGCAGGGTTTTTAAATAAAAATGAAGGTCTTTAAATGCACATCTAAGGGTTGTTGCACCTGAACAAAAAGCAAGAAATACTCCTTATACCTTGTGCCCTAGAATAATGCTGTTAGATCTGTTTTTCCTACAAACAGCTTACACATGTAGTTCATCAACCATGAGTTTACTGCAAAGTAATGGAGCGGCAATCTCTCGTTTTTTTTCGTTGTTTACTCATTTAGTTGTCCTCAATCATCCTAATGACACCTCAACATGGAGTGGTGTAGTTTATGAATCATTGGTAGAAAAATGGCCTTTATTCCCTCTCTGACTGTTTAATCTTTTAGGCAATGCAAAGCAAGGTAATTTTATTTATATAGCACTTTTCAGCACATGGCGATTCAAAGTGCTTTACAGATTAAAAGCAAAAGACATTTAAGAACAAATACAGCATAAATACATTATTAAAAAGGCATTTAAAAACAGGCCTTATAAGCAAAGGTAATGAAATAAATAAAATAAATAAACACAGCAGGTACAGAATACATGACTAAAAAGGCATACTGTAGTGTGAGTATGGGCAGCTCAATTAAAAGCAGTGGCAAATAGGTGCGTTTTTAATCTGGATTTAAAAATAGGAAGTGTTCCGGCGGACGTGCACGATTTGGGAAGTTTGTTCCAAATTGTTGGGGCATAATAACTAAAAGCAGCTTTTCCATGTTTAGTTGTTATTCCTCGGAACAGAGAGCAGACCCGACCCAGAAGACCTGAGACTCCTGGATTCTTCATAGTGATGGAGTAGGTCGTCTATATACCTCGGTCCTAAGCCATTTAGTGATTTAAAAACTAGCAGTAGTATTTTAAAACCAAGGCTTTTCTTTTGAGTTTGCTCCGGTATGAACATACATTGTTCTGAACAGACAAGTAAAAAAGTTAATAATGAAAATCCAGTCCTAGAACTAGTATAAGATACCAATATTCAAAATGGGCATGAACAGTAAGGCCGNTTGTTGACATGACCGCCGATATAGCTGACATCTAGAACATTTACTTTGATAAGCAAAACACGTTTTTTTGTAAAAATGTTTACTTACCAGATCACAATGAGTATCTCTCTTTCACAGGCAATGAGAAATGGGTTGAGCTTGCAATTTCTGGTCACTTGATTACAACTATAAGGCGTTGCCTGGTTACAGGGGGTGGTTCAACTTACCCACTGGCTCAACTTACCCCCTTCTCCCCTACCATCATAAATGCAGTTCTTATATTTTATTATTTTAAAATGCAATTAATAAAATGCATTTCTGGAAGAAAAAAACAATAGAATTGTTTTATCATCAGACAATTTTCTTGTCATATAAGGAAAAGCATCAGTGTACTAACATTAAGGATGGCTTTGTTAAGTGTCCCAGTTAATAAAGGACCCTGAACTGCAGAAGGAATTCAGCCATCAATCATTTAGTATTTACACAAACTGTTACATGTCAAAAATCAATGTATGAACTTTCGAAGATTATCTTGGCAAACAGAATCAGCACATGTTTCCTTCAAGTAAGTAAAAATAAACAATATTCAATAAGCCTCTCAAAACAAAAACCTATCAACACCGAAGTATTTCTGTGTGGTCCTTTACTTATTTTAACAAAATCATGAAATAAATCTATATTTAAAGTATGCTTAAAATATCACATCTTATTCAAAAATGCTAGATTCTCACAACATTTACAACATCCGATCCACCATGCCAATCTGATTTCAAGCAGGTTTTAAGTGGAGTGTGACGTCGATGGATACAGCTAAAGTAGTACACTATGATCATATGTAGTGCATACTGTCAGTACTCTATGATATGAACAGCACATACTGTATGTAATAGGTAGTTAATTTGATTTAGGAAAACAGATTTAGCCATTAGAGTAACTTCCAGACTGACGTGTTGAGCTGTCAGAGCGTTCAGTAAACGGCGGAGCCTCTTTGCAGTCCGTCACTGACCTTTGCCCAGACAGGCAGTGTGGGGTTTACAGATTATCCCATTAGACAGGACTACGTTGGCTGCTTCGCACAAACACAAGGCTAATCACCATTTTCTCTAAACAAGCTCAAATCCAAGAGTGCTCTGCAATGAACAGCTGAACCCAGTACGGCACAGATGAAAATGTTTATTTGATCTGATTATTCGCTATTCCATTTCAATCAGTCTTGAAATCACAGGGTAATAAGTGCACACAATTATTTTTCTGTCCCCAATTCATTTTCATGTGAAAGCAAATTACAACACACTTTATACTGCCTGCTAAAACACAAAAGCATTATGCGACAGCTCTTCTAGACTATGGTAGGTGGCACAAAGCTGTCAGCAAATGGCAGAGCATTAGCAGATACATTCGCAAACTGAACATTAGCAAACACAATGTTTAATTGGTTAATATATCGTGAGAGTCCATGTTGTTTGACCACAAAAGATAAATATAAAAAAACTGTCACACTTTCAACATATCTGTATATCACAGCTTACACTGAAATTTTTTATGAATCAAATAGCTGGAAATACATCATTTCAGAATTTTATAAATGTTTCAGTGGATATATAATTTTTTATACTAATTCAGCTTTATCTTGAGATAGCTACTGCCGCGTATTCACTCAGATGTACCACATGACTATTGACACAACATTTTAGAGCAAGATGGGATGTTTTTAAACACAAATTAATTTCAAGATATTTTTGACAGATTGTCAGGCTGTAAACTGTGTATTTGATTAGGCAAGGTTTTATTTCACATCATGTGAAGCTCTTGGTACATTCACAACACTGGGTTGTCAAATGAATTACAAAAACAACAAGGATGACCTCAAAGGATGGATTATAGTTTCAGTGGAGCCCACGTAAATAACAAAAACCAATTAAATCAAAATGCAGGACAAACATGTTGCAGAGCTTGTGAGTAGGGATTTTTAGTATCCAGGCAATGTTCTTTTTTTATGAATGTACAAGATCTAGACGTAACACAAAGAAAAAAACACACCAATAATTTCAAAAGTACAAACTCCAGTTATGTCTGTAGCGGACACCATAAAAAATATATATATGAGCTAAAATATGAGAACACAAATTATGAAATGGAAAAGGATGTTGGTGGGTGACAAGTGTTCCACATTTCTCTAAAAAGGGCATTTACTCATTAAATGTGTCTTGGAGAAGTGCATCAGAACAATTGTATTTGAGGATTTATGTTGTTGTTGTAAGACACTATGCCCATATTGCTGAAGGACTGGTTCATCTTCAGAACGCCATTTTGTCAACACACACATTTTCTAATAATAGCATCATTATATCTTTTTTTTTTTTATTCCATCCCATCCAGTCCAATGAAGAGCAATAAGCCATGCTGCAATCCATGAGAGTGATAGAAAGAATTCCCCACAGAGGCCTCAATTCCTCATCGTCAGTACAGAATTTGTGGCTGTAGGTTTACAGTTTTCTGTTTCAGTGATGTCTATTAGAAGTCAGTTCATGTTCCATGTCCATTTCAACAACATCTCTCTGAAAACACACATACAGTAATACAGTATTGTGGCTGCGGTCTGAACAGCCTTTAAACTCGAGCCTTGTCGAACAATGGAAGACAAGACATAGAATGACAATTGAGAGGACGTTTTTTTGGCAAAAGCATCTCTACAGTTAGGAATTTTGGCTCGATCTTGACAAGAAATACATCATTACCAAATGAGGCAAATAATAAACCTGCGTGGTTAGGCCCTTATTGGGCCAATGTCAGCAGTCTGAATAAAAATCTCCACAGAAACGGTTGCACCAAAGCACAGTAATGTTGCCTTCACAGTCCATTGTTCTTGTGACAGCTCATCCATCCCCGATTGGGCCATGTCTACAGCTGGACATATTATTTACTTGTCTTTAACGTAGGTTACAACTTCCATTTGCAGTTCATGCAATCTACTTAAAAGTTGGGCTGGAGGATATAATCGAAGTTCAAGTGCACGTGAAAACACACCAACATAACCCCAGGTCTATAAAATATCCATCTCAAGCGTAGATCTGTCCAGAACCACCTTTGTGTGACTTTTCTCCTCCGAGGCGCTCCTGGCTCGATTGGCGGTTGGCATCACTGGATTTGATGACACTGGCGTAGTCGAAGATCCCCACTTCCAAGTTCTTGGCCCTCAAGGTGGCACTATGCAGCTTCTCTAGAAAATCAGGCATGCCTGCGAGACACAAAGGGAAAGCCTCCTTAGTGTCAGGTGTACAATACTCGGTAGGAAAACATTGAATGCGAAAAGTGAATACGAAAGCATAAATGGAAATTAGCTATTAGCTATAATCTGGCATATTGCATCTCTTCTCTTTGCTGAGATTAATGTATTTGTATGCATGGTCCTTCTATAAATGAATACATATAGATATAAAAATGCAGAAATATGAACGCAATAAAAATGCTTAATATGTCCAGATTACTTGTGTAAGGATCTAAAGTGTGTGAATTTGGTGGTTATGGGGATACTTTGCTGCTTGACAGTTGATAGACGGGTAATTAAATGTGATCAAACGTAATGGTTCCATGCGGCCCAAAGTAGATTTAACCAGTGAAAAGAGCTCACCACTTGACACCATCCAGTTCACGCAGTAACGGGGAAAGGCTGTCTGAGGGTCGTCACTGTAGGTCAGCAGATAATCAAATCCATTCTGTAAAGAAAACATACGTCAAACTCAATGGCTACAAAAGGACCGTGGATGCAAATAAATACATTTGTGTCACAACAGATGCAGGACAAACCTCATCGAAGGACTTGTGAGGGCGGATGACCATCTTTGACTCGTATGAATGGACCCTTACAAACTCCTGAGTCTCAGGGACTCTGGGATGCTGGACGGCTCTAAAACAACAGAATTACAAATATTAAAAGAGTCTGAAAAATACAGACGCAACTACTTTATTAATGTATCAAAAATACAGCACCAGGGCTCGACATTAAGGACTGCCCGATGGCCCGGGGCCATCTAGTATTTAGCTCGGGCCATGAAGCCTCACCTGCTGGTTGCCCGATCGGGCAATCTATTATGCTAGTATCATGCAGCTCGCGGATCCAGTAATGAGTGACCCGACAGTAAAACTAAACATATCTATAACTAGTTTAGGTAGTTTGAGAGGTAATTAAAATAGCTACGTGTGATATTCTAACCTGAAGTGTGTGTTTTGTTCCGCTCACCGCTGCATGTGATCATGCAGAGCTGCGTGTCGACTCAACAGCTGATCTCTCTCTCTCCCGTCAGATTAGACTTCACTCGCGTTTATGTCCATATCGATCAGATCCAGCTAGTTTTAGCTAATGATATGACTACCTGCTTATTAAAAGACACCGTGACCTAAACAATAAGTGTCGCTATGCAACTGGGCAAGGCCACAAAGTATAGCGCAGCATTATGCATTTGTTTACATGCCCACCGGAACCCTGAGGCATTAGCAACAGATCAACGCACAATCAACCCACACAGCACATCTCTTTCTCCACATTAAGTGTTACACATTAGAATTGACTATTATTGTCTGTCACATACTCTTCTTGTCTGTCACATAAGTGTATTGAAGCGGTATTGCGCTAAAGGGAAATTATTTTGACCGGACATTTTGACCAAAGAGATTTAGATTTGCTTGCTAATGGGAACTCTGACGTCGCCATTGTGTGTGCTTCGCGGATGCACTCGGCTGCTCGGGTCTGCTCGGTCAGCTTCTGGATGAGGAGGCATAATTTCGACCAATTTACAGTAGATAACATTACAAACATTTTTAACAGGGGCCATAATAGCGTAAATAATGTTTGTTTTGGCAGTTATAACTGCATGTAATGTTTTCTAATTTTTTACATCTGGGAAGGCATTTGCCTTCAACAGATGGAAAGTTTCCATCTGTTGAAGGCAAATGCCTTCCCAGATGTAAAAAATTAGAAAACATTACATGCAGTTATAACTGCCAAAACAAACATTATTTACGCTATTATNACACTGTGGCTAATGTGCACATGACAATAAAGCCTTGAAACTTGAAACTTTTCCTTTGTGTTGTACAAGTAGAGTATAACCTTGGCTTATCAAGTGGTCATTTTTACTTAAGATTGTCAGCTGCTAACCTTCTTTAATCCCCCCCACAGTATCCCATGTACTCAAGGGACTATGTGTACGTGCGCCGCTATGATGTGGACCCAGAAAACAACTTGATGGTTCTGGTATCCAGGTAGGAATTAAAAAAGAATGTATCTTGATTCAAATGTGCTCAGTGCATGACATTAAGGATTTTGGGAGATGGCCCTGTGGGCCATCTAAGCTAATTTACAGATGGCCCTGAGCCCAATAGAGATTGCCCTGAAAAATGCGCGCGGACGAAATGACGCACGAAGGGTTTGGGGGGCCTCCCCCTAGAACATTTAGATTTTTGCAGGTCTTAGATGCTGTCTGGTGCATTCTATAGAGTGAATTATAAGATGAACCACCACAATATTACAATTTCAATTGTATTCTTCATTTCACTTGTTTGTGTTTGCTCGCTTGCATGCCCTGCATAGCTATAAGAAAC